TATATGTTAAATAACGCATAAACGTACGCGCACAGAAATGGAAAGTTGATTTTTTTGTGACGAAGGCCTCGGCTGTTCCGAAATTCTTGTTTTTTTTTGCAATAAAGTAGTGAAGTGGCTTCTTTCTTTCCTTAAGCAAACGTCGGTAGCGGGAGATGCCATCCAAACGCTCGGTCTGACTTTTGCACTTTTTTCAAAATCTGGATCAACGATATCGGTTATCGTTACCAAACTTTTACTAAAAAAATCTGTGAGAAATTCTTTGGGTTCGATTTCAGAATCACTAATTTCCAGTTTTACACGAATTCCTCTTTCTGCCAGTTCTCGAAGGTGGTCGTCGGTAATGCTCTGGCCAAAAACCCGCAGCAACTCCTCAATATCCCGCTCGTCTACGTCTCCTAGTCTCGTTATATCGATTAGGTCGACAATTTGGTCGACGATGGGCCCTTCTCGTCGAGAATTCTCGAATACCTTCGGCCACAACTACTCGCACATTCCGTTCGCGCATTTATGGGTTAATTCTTGTCCAGCCCAGTCGACATTGCCCACGGCATTCGCCGTGTTATATTTTTTCCAAAATGGCACCGAACAAACGTAGATCTAAGGGAAGTACGGCGCTACGACCAATTGCCACCTTTTGCCCATCGGTCGGTGTTCGGGAATAATCGCGTTATATACGAATCGACGAAATGCCGCGATAATTTGAATGGGCTTAAATTTTGAACTTTTTTTAGGCTTCGAGCGGACGACGTTACATCGAATCGGCGTTAATCGAGATAACGTTAAACGAGTCTTACTGTGTATATGTATATATATAGAAATTCCGAAATAAAAGTTTAATTTTTTAATGTTTTAAATGATTAAAGAATTATTTATTTCTCGTTTAATATTTAATCCGTCCTAAGAATATTATTTATAAACATAAAATCGTATATAAAAATATATGTGTTAAGGTTTGATTTCAATTCTCGTTTATTACTTTAAATTTCATGGCGAATAATATACTGTAAAAGTTAAAAGTATGATTTTACGTAAAAAAGTTCGCAAAAGTTTACAATTTATGTATCGATAAATTGTAAAATTAATCCCGATAGACGAATAAAACGAAAGTATTAAATGAATTAATAAAAAAATACTTTATAATTAAACAAATTTACGAGTTTTTAATGGCCTATAAAAATGTAATATTGATAAAATAACAAAGAAGTGACAATAAACGTTTAATTTTCGTTAAAAAATTTATCGTTACAATAAGAAGAATCGATGGATAATAGCCAGTAACCTGGTTAAACCAGACTAGTAATTATCAGTCTTTTTCCTTTCTTTAACCAATTATAATCCTCGAAATATTATAACGAATGAACGATACTAAATTTCATAAATCATTTAATGAGAATATTTGTAGAGCTCCGACTCCGGTCTTACCGGAACACTGCGCCAGAATTTTTGCTCTTCTCTTCTAAATCGATGCATATATTTTAATTTTAATAAGTAGAAATGTTATGTATTTTCTATTCAAATTATTGCGTAAAATGGAATAAATATTACGATTTAAATATATTATTAACTCTGAAATTATTTCGAGCACGTTTTTTTTTGGCTCGATGGTTCCCGAAGTCGGTCTGGATCTATATTTTACATGGGTTTCAACTAGATTTCGTGAAAATTATAATGCTTGTATACCGTATATAAGCGTTTCGTCTCGACTTTAATTTCTTTATGATAATTGTAATGAATTTTGCGCATCCGAATTGTAAATATTAATATATAAACCTATAATGGCCGAAAAACGATACCAAATTTTTATTTGGCCAGTGGGAACCCAACCAAATCACAAACGTATGGATCTTTGTTTCTTTGTTTGGAAGAACGTACGGTTAATACGCTAAGATAAGCGATTCTAACGTTATTTTTACGCCAACGCATCGATCATTCGATAACTTCAATCTTTTTTAATGAAAAATGTAATATTATTTATATATTGCAATATTTAGATACATTAAATTCAAATGTAAATTGTTTTAAACCAACATTATACATTTAATTCGTTCAATTTTTTTTCATTAGTTTATTATAAACTTATTGCGATAAATTTATCAAATCGATGCGCTAGTTCCGATGGAAAATACTAAATTAATCGAAAATCGATATCCGCTCTCTTAACACTAAATCTGTGCCAAAGATATTACATTTTTATTTGATAAACGCCATTTATCTTTTCTGTTTGGTTCGTATTCAAAAATGGTGGCTACTAGTGGATAAAACCACTAAACATCGATAATCGGTTTCGGGTTCGGACCCAATCGAGAGGTCGCCAGGTGAAATTTTTCGGGTTGTATTCTTGTATATAACGCGTAAATAGGCCGAGTTTCCCACAGAAAGTCCTCGCGGAGGTACCCTACTTGGCAGATCGCCCAATTCATATTCAAAAATAAATTTTATGTTTGTTTTATACAAATTAAAACATTCAATTGTGGAATAAGATGTTTTTAATGTATTACGTAAAAGAAAGTAATCGATGACACTATTTTTATTATAATTGTTATCACTTTAAAAATTAAAGCCGCGATTATTCTTTAATATTATTTTTAGAATATGTATAAAAAGTGACATAAAATGCTTAAAAGATGCAAAATGAAAATAATAGTCGCTTTACTTTCGGATCTCGTTGCCCTAATACGGTCCAGCAACGTACGCTAGATCGACATTTTTGTAATACGAATACCTCCGAAATTTTGCAAGAAAGTTATTTTTCAGTTACCATACCGATTGCTATCGATAAATCTTGTAGGGGAAGGTGTGCGAGATGGGGTCGTGGGGTAAGACGGAGACATCTGTGTTATTTGTGGTTAGCGCGCTTTTATCTAGCTGTTATTTGGTGAACTAAATGTCTATCCCGAAAGGGATCGTGGAGCTAGAGAACGTCCGAATCGCTCTCTTTGTTTGGAAGTAATGTACGTTTTTCATGTTTCGGCAATACTTCATCTAATTTTACGCGTGCTAAAAAGTTCTTACATTGTGAACTTTTACATTATCTTTTACACGAAGATATTATGGTATTCGAAGCAACCTTTAAGACTGTAATTGTTTAGTTTTGAAATAAAGTTTACCCGTGTTTGCAGTCAGTATGAAAAGTGTACGTTGGGGGCTAGACGGGTACCCCATTTTGCCCCCAACATCTTTTGTTTCTTGTTAGGGTAGGCCTAACAAGAAACAAAAGACAAATGACGCAGAATGCCTCTATTGTGGAGGGTTATACTCTGTATCAACAGAGAGTTGGGCTAAATGTAACCGTTGTGATAAATGAGCGCACTATTCTTGCGCCAATATTGAAGAAAACGGCAGTTTAACCATTTTAATTTGTCCTTCTTGTAGCCTATATAAAAATAATATCCCCATCTTACCCCGCGGGTGGGGCGAGATGGTGCATTTACATATAATTTTAAAATATTAAATTTTCTTGTTTTTAAAAACGTTTTTCAAAAATTAAATTTTGTATTATATATTACCACATGTTGTAGTTTCTGAGAATAAAAAAAATTATTGTTCTTATTAAAGTTGTTGCCATCTTATGACTTTTCAAACCTTAACGTTCTCATCTTGCCCCACCTTCCCCTAATGATTTTAGTAATAAAATGGCTACTGTTTTCATTCACGCCTGTTTCGACGTAATGTCGTTAACTTTTTATATGAAGTTGCATGCAAAAATATTATGGAAAAATCATATTTTTTGCTTAAAAGTCTCTGTAACATTTATTTTTTCTCGATTAACTAGAGACTAGGCAAGAGCAAACTTTAAAAATTGTTTTAAATGTGTCTTTTAATTTAATATGATTCATACATTTCCATTAAGTGAATCTTTGTAGTCTGTCGATATACATAACTTATTAGTAACTTTTACGCTTCTTCGTACCACTTGTGGTTAAATATTTACAATGTAATGAGCAATGGTTTATCTAAACTTTATCTACCTACAGGTAAACTAACCTACAGTCAAAAATTGTACAGTACATAGCGGATGTACTGTACAATTTTGTTAATTTGAAAAACACGGTGGATTTAGAGCCAGAGGAATACTACAGAAAAAGTGGATATTTAGTGGATTCTCGATCTTCCGAGGCAGACAAACACTAGTTTCGATGAACGATACATTCGACATACGCTCGTAAATTTTAGCTACCCCTCGATGTCTCGAGGTAAGGGAGGACCGAGAAGTACAAAAAACGTTGTTCATCATTGTGTTTATAAATATATTACTATAATATGTTCTAACACAGTAATTTAATCACAGAAATTCACATACATATTAGCTTAGATAAAATAGCTTTATCATCTCCGATAAACAAATATCGCGTTATTTCACGTTATTTTTCTTTATTGAAATGTTTTCCCTCATTTCTACGATTTTGCACACTGACTGTAAAATTGTATTCCAAACTTATTACCTACTAGAATAATTTTATAAATGATTTTTACCAATACGATACGTAGTCGAAGGGATTGATTGGATCGATGAGGTAACGCGAGACAACACTCGGGCGATCTGCCAAGGAGGATGAGCCTCCGGGAAGAATTTTCTAAGGAAACTGGCTCCCATTTAGGCGATAGATACGAGGAGAAAACCCGGATAACTCCACGTTGACAACTCGACGAGGTCCGAACCCGTGACCAACTACTAGCGTTTAGTGATTTTATCCACTCAGGTAGACATATATATGTGTTGGTTTGCATTATAATTTAATCGCCTTACAAATCGAGACATCTGTCAAACGATATTATTATTACTACGTTTAATACGATGTTAATTCATAAATATACTGTAAAATAAATGTATAAATGCGATATTATATAGACTATTTCTATCTCAAAAGCACGATTTTAAAAATTTCGTCTTTCTTCTTTATATTTCGAGAACACAATTCCTATTTCACCAATAATTAAATAGAACCTTTTATTATTAACAAAAGATATATGTAATTAAAAGAGTACAATTTAAAAAAATATCAGCGGATTTAATTTTTCTTTAAATGTTCAATATATTTCAACATCGTCATCAACTTTAAAAATCAGTAACAAACAGGAATTTTTCGGCCGATTTTAAGGCAATCATAATATCAGAAATATTCTTTTCCAGAAGCTGTTTTATCTTCTCTTCGGGAGATTTGCGATATTCACTCAGAAGATTAATTAGACTGGGAAAGAACCTTTGATAAGGAGTGAATATCATATGTCTGTAAATATCCAACAATTTACATTACTTAAATAAAATCCTAAGTTCAGATTAAATCTAAGAAATATACCAGAGCTAATGACGAGTACCTGATAATATTTATTTCTCGATATTGTTTAGATTTTACGAATATCCTTTCCAACAGCATCATTTGATCGTTTGCTCGACGAACGGCGTACGAACTTAATAAAAATCGAAATTAATATTTGTAGATTCAACGTGGCATTCTAAAAATTAAACTTACTTTCGGATGTCTACGCAATTTAAACGACTTTTCCACCGGCGAGAAGCTTTTTTAAAATCCAATATTGCCTTTTCTAAATGGTCTAAGAACGAAATTTAAAATTTATAACCATTATTATTGAAGAAATGAGCTGTTACGAGTTATATCTCTTTTGAAAATTTAAGGTTAAATTTTATAAATCCTTCGCTATAAACGTTTTAAAAGTTTGAAATTTACCAATCCGAAACCTCGCTTCTTGTAATTGATTACGCAAAGGAATCCACGCTTCTTCTATTCTATTCGCTAAGATTTCTACATTGTAAGGAATAATGTGGCAGTTGGCTAAATGATATAAAAGAAGGCAGCAAAGGCGAGCGCAAGCTCGATGAGTAAGAAAACCGGGATCGATTAAACGATCGATCGTATCGAAGTTATCGTAAGCGGTATGATATGCGGGATGTAAGAACAGTGTTGGGTATTTTTCCTAAAAGTAATTATATTATTAATAAATAAGATATTTCCAGCTGCACTGTATACTTATAATTAATAAAATATAATTTAACTAAGTTTTATTCAAAAATTCTTAATTAAGTATATTAAAGAATAAAATGTTAGTTATTGAAAATAATGGAAGTCGACGAATCGATTCTAATATCTACCGTATCCGGAAGCCACGAAAGGTTGATAGAAGGAATTCCTGCGTAGAAATAAAATGGAATGTGATCTGTCCCCGGTCCTAAAGAATCCACTCTGCATACAATAAGACACACATTTTTTTATTATTATCTTGGTGAACGCCTTATGTTTTTATACACCAAATCTTGTTTCGGACAGTCTCGTAACTTTTCTGCTTAAAATTCGAAATTGGAATCTGGAGACTTTCCAAATCAAAATTTGATCCGTAATAACACAAAATATGCAAATTTTACAATATATACGTTACGAATTAATAATTCAGACACTTTATTTCTTACCTAACTTGGCGTTGAAATTTAATCATATAATCTTTCCATACTTCGTAAGTAGATTTCGTAGATTGCTTTGGATCCGGAATCTTAATCCAATTATACATATAAAGAAACATCGTAGAAGATATTTTAATAATATTAATTAATACAACGTAAGTTAGGTGAAAATTTACCAAGTCCGCTATTTCTGTTAAGAAATCTTCTAACAAAGCCGATGCTTCCGGATGAAAAATTTCGCCTGAAATTTTTGAAATTTTTAAATACGAATATTCCATATTGTGAAATACGAATAATAAGAGTCCATTTACCCGCTACACATATGTCCACGTTAATATACGCTACCGCACGTGCTTGCAAACTGTGCATATGCTCCTAAATTCATCAAAGATTAAAATCATTTAGAATATTAAACAATAGAAAATACATTAAAAATTGTAGTGAGAATAAATCATATTTTGCCTCGATCCATTCGGTAGATCCGATTAGACCAAATTCTTCCCCGTCCCAACTACAAAATACTATGGTCCTATTGGGTTTCCAACCTTCTTTTTTCAATGTTCCCAATACGCGGCTAACTTCACACATTTGAGCAGTGCCGGACGAAGGATCCGCTCCCCCGTAAACCCAGGCATCGCGATGATTTCCAAGTAGCACGTATCTATCTATAGAATTATTTATATGAAATTAAATGAATAAAAAATTAAAAATAGATATATCCACTCACCGGGCTCAACTGCGCCTTCAATTATACCAATTACATTATAGCAAACAGCTTGTTTAAATTCGTTATTTACAATCAATCGTAATTTTCTAATTTTAATAAAAATATAATTGAGTGGCGTTTAAAGCATATATGTAAAAGAAATATGTATTTCTATACTTTTCCGAGTCTTTAAATCCAGGTCCAATAAGAATATCTTTATTTCTTGTGGTCCAATCTTCGGGAAGAAGATTTCCTCCGAGTTGTCTGAATAACAAAAGAAACTACAATCTTAAAATAAAACGAATTTTACAACATATATTTAGTTGTATAATGCGTACTGTAAAATGGCCAAAGCGTCTCCATAGCCTATAGGTTGGCAAGGTATTTTAGGAAAATCGTTTATCTCTTCAACCGGAATTCTGTAGGCGTCATCTAGTACAGATACAAAATTAAAAAATTTTTAAATGTCACTAACTTCGAGTCGATTTTATTTATATACGAGTTCTTGTGAGTTTTCTTCTATCGACCTTTCGTGGCATTCTTACGAGTTTTCCGACTTACCCAAAGACGGATATCCGGGTGTTTGCGGATCTCCTTTCTCTTCGCGAATATCGCCTCTTTGTATAGCGTCCGAAGGCATCCACCATGTATTTGGATACACGTTTTCTGAATTCGTGCCGCACACCGCCACTTCTGTGGGGCAAAGGAACAATATCATACCGAGGGCGCCTCTTTTGGCGGCATTCGATACCTGTAATAAACAATGATATTTTTCATTCTCATTTTCATTTCTACAACGCATTGCTATCTCGCACATATTGCGTGTGCAATATGTGCCAGCAAAGACTCTCTGAACGTATTGAATTCGACTCAACACAAAATTTTCTTCTGCGAGTTGACACGAATATATCGATCTTCGATCTCTTATCATCCATTATGTTCCTGGATTTATGTTGGTTTTTTTAACCTTTCCTTCCTGTCGGCACTAATAGGATCTTTTTAAGCGAACCCATTATGGGTTCGGCCGGATCCACGATGGGGTGGCCCGTGGCGAGGAACGGGGTCCAGACGGACCGGCCTTCGACAAATTTCTGGGGTTTTTTGTCCTGTCCTCCCAGTATTCGATCCCGGGTTCCTCGGAGCGGTAGGCTGCCACCTAAGCCGCTAGGCCATCCGACCGTCATATTTAGGTTGGCTACAGAAAATTTCCTCTAGTATCCCGAGAGTGAAAAAGTTTATATATATACAGAAGTCATCATTATTATTTAATTAACCTATTTATGGCGAGTTGTTATAAAAAACGTAGTCTTGGACTTTATGGCGTTTCATTTAATAATGACAAATTTTCGTGTCAACGCGTACAGTGTAATAAAATATTTCTAATTTTTTGTATAAAATGTACAAAATGAAGTTATTCAAAATTTCAAATAAACGTAGAAAATTTACCTTCTTCCCACGATATATTTTTCCATAACGGGCCAGGCATATCTTTCCTTTTATTGAAATTCCCAATTCTTCCAACAAATCAAAATCTTCGTCTCTTCCATAATTAACATAAAGCGGATCTGCCTATAAAATCAATAACATAAAAGTAAGTAAATTATATTTTATTTTAATGTAAAGATAGACGACATCTCACCAAAATATCACCCTTTGGCGAATACGCATTAAAAGGCTGAATACAGAATTTGTTTTGCAGTATTTTCTCTTCGTGACAAGCGATAAAACTGACTTCACCTTGGTCGTTCACAATCGAAATCTAAAGTAAATTACGTATTAATATATTTTATTCTCATAACGCATCGATTTTTAAAATCTCGGATGAATTCTTACTTCGTTCGCTTTATCTGGATTTGGATACGAAAGCAATACATTATACGGCACTAATTTGACTTGGTCCAATCCTTGTTCGGTCCACAGATCACCAATGTAACGAGCGAGTCGAATATCTCTTTCCGTTCCAGCAATATGAGGTTGATCAGTGAGGAAGCTGATATAAACAGAATACGCATTATCTTTCATATCAACACGAATTCTATAAAACACTATAATTCTGAATTGAAATAATTGTCACGGAGTAAAAGATGTAATTTTAAGTATGTGGATTCATTTTTAAGTCATTCGATTATATTTTGCACGCATATCTTGCAAAATAGGACGCTAAAAACTCTCCCGAATACTCTCGCACGCGAGAATATTTGTAAGAGTTTTTAGCGTCCTATACAAATCTTTCATTTGGCACTCCTACACTAATAAGAACTACAAAGTATCGATGAAACGTGAAAACATATTTACTATTTTATTTACTTCCAAACAAAGCGTTCTCAGAAAAACATATATTATAACGAGAAATTATTTATTGTGACACGGTCACAATGCCGCGCTGCAAATTTTAACCATCTTTTTAATTTATTTAATCTAAAATATATGCTCTCCACCTCAAATTAGTACTGTAGGGGCTTGCCCCTGTACTACGTCATACTTCCTGCTAGTAATAGACTCTTGTCGGTCATCTAACTCCTCTCGGGAGAAATTTTTTAAAATTGAAATAACGTGACTTCTAACGCAAACCAGAAGTTCGTATATAGTTAATCGGAGCCTCCTTCCCCTAAGCTTTTCGTACCTGGTCTCAATATTCATCCATCTAACTCCGTTCTTGAGCTTAAGAAAGGGCAGACGGTCAAACAAAACAGACGGACGACTGGGAATTTATAGGTTTACAATTTTTTCAAATACCAGTCCAAAAAATTTTACGCTAATAATAGAGAAGTTGCTGCCGAAGTTTTCATCTTTAAAACGTGTGTGTTCTAAATGCCATTGTCAAACTTCTAGGCTTAGAAGATATCGGCGCTCGACGTTCGACGCTCACGTTTTAAAGATGAAAACTTCGGCAGCAACCTCTCTAATTAAACCGCTAACTGCCGAAAACAATCCTCGACAACACTTCGTTTTGCGTTTCGAGTAATAGAATTTGTATCGGAAAACATTTATATAAAGTGTGATATAAATATATACTGGTTTTATCGGCATATTAAAATAAACCAGCAACGATTTGCTCAATTTTCTCGGCAACATTTAAAATTTGGTGGCTTCATCTGTTACCATATTTTATTTTAAAAATTTTAAACTATTATAAAATGACAAAAAGCTTAATTTTGAGGATAGGGATGGATTTTATAAAAAAGAAAAAATTAAATGCTAATAACGACTAAAATCGTCGTTAAGTCCGCCCTACCGGAGATACACACGACCCCCATTATCTCCTCACTCCCTCGAGCTTTATCCACCAAAATTTAACGGCGTCAATCCTTCTCATAAATAAAAATGAATTTCCTGTAAAATTTCAGAAAAATTCGACAAAAAGCTTCAAACAGGGGAAAGAACAAAATCGTGCCCTTCCACACACACACTAATATCATACGTATAGAAAAAAACCCGAATTTTTTTGTGCATTTCGCGACGTTTCCAAGTCCCAATCCAAAAATGTAAAAATCTCGGAGGTGGATCATTTTTTGACAGATTGCCATACTTTCCCTTTGTTATACATAATAGCCGGGAAAGTAATAGTTCGTGTTTAACGTTGGTAAATTATGAACTTTTTTGAGGGTTGCGGGTGACGTCCAGGTACCACTGCGAGGTTCTACTACGGTCTTTCCTTCTAACACAATTGTAAGGTTTTCTGCGACGGTGGTGTGTTAATTCTGATACCAAGCGGGTTACGTCTCCTACACCAGTTTTGAGCGTTTTTGGATGGCAATGATGCGATCTCGTATATCAGACTAAGGGTACGAGGACGTTGTAGAAAAGGACGAGATTCGGTCGGAATTGATTCACTCAGCACAATTTATTACACTTCATTAAACATTTATTAGACGGCACGAAAGATGATACAACACCTTACACAGGGTATTCGCGTTTCGTGGAGAGAGAGAAATTACAAACTTTTGGTACCTCACAAATCGAAACTAGTATCTTGTACTATACCTGGCGGAAGAGCACTAATCCAAAAAGGCACACTAAACCGAACAGTTGGAAGAACGGGCGACGACTGACCGGAATCGTCCGTTCTTCATCATATTCAAAGCATCAAATACCGTAGAGGTGACTAAAAGTCGCGAGAAAGCGTAAGTCGACACTCTCCGACCAGAAAGTCGACATATACTAGCATCCGACGATGTCGTCCTCGAGTCGTTTTCCTTTTACTCGTTCGATTTTCACACTTTCGAGTGGGAAAAGTAGTGCCGCGCAGTATATTCAACCGGGTTGCCGCGAAATATAGTGACGAGCGGTACCACAAGGCAAGAATTTATTGTCTTAAGAAAAGTTATTGTATATTCACACGTAATTAAAATTATTTATCTACTAGCGGATGAGCCCGGCGTTGTTCGGGCAAAAAGTAACGACAGCCAAGTTAAGATTATTACATTATACCCGATTTTACCCGTTTTCATCGGATGCAAGAATTACATTTTACCCGTTCCGAGAGTAATTAGAGAATTTTTTGATGGGTGTAAAAATGCGTTGGATTTCTCGCAAAAACGCAAAAACCCACATTTAAAATAGTACAGTAGAAGCCGAGTTCTTCGAAGTAATTCTTAACTCTCTTCCGCGGGAGAAATTTCGAAAAATCCCTTTTTAGTGTGCATTCTCACGACGTAACTGCCTACCAAATTTCAACTTTCAACTCCTAACCGTTTGGGCTCTGCACTTTATTATTATTATTATCATCAACCCATCTGGATTATAAGATACATATAAATGAGTACGTTTGTTGGTTTGTTTGTTCCCAATACAGTACACTCGGGCTGTTCGACCAATTGCTACGAAACTCGGCGGTTACGTTTAAAGACCCGTAACTTAGATAATATCGGGACATCCTACCCCAAAATATCAATTAATATCTGTCTATATTCGATTGGTTGAAATTACGAGTAGCGCCATCTATTGACAAAAAATTTAAGAAAATAATAAACTAAATATAAATTAAAATACAAATATATTCACTTAGTTACTGTGGCAATGATATAGCGGAAGTAGACGCAACCGGTGGCACATAGCATTCGTCCGTGCGCAGTCGCAAGTGTTATTCTCCGAAAACTGTATAAGTATTTTTTAACATTCCGCATCTAACAATTCGGTCGCGCTAATCCCAACTAATTGAGACCAGTGGTAATTCGCAGGATTTAATCTTGGGGGAGCCATGTTAAACGGATAAAAAACTTTTTAATGCCAATTCAATAAAATTCCCATCTTATGTGCGAATTACCGCTAATTCGTAAGCAAGTTTAGTACAGAAATAGAAGACACGATATAAATAAAAAAAATATTTTATCAAAACTTTTTAGTGTTTTTATCGTTTTTCTTTGGAGGGTACGGGCCTCTTTGTCCCCTCTGGATGCGCCACTGGTAATTCGGATTAACGAGGTTCGACAGTAACGATATGTTTATACTTTGAGGTCAATTATACTGTTGTAAGATACTTTACAACAGCGCGCAGAAATTACGATTTTTCTCGTCAAACAGGGCCACGGAAAGAACGAGCGGCAATGTTCGTAACACAGCGGTAATCGATAATACCATAATATAGACAATATTTTAGTATTGTCTATTTTATGCTGATCTATGTAGGCCTATATGCCGATTCTCGTGTATCAACTATTCCTCCAGCTGCATCCAAATCATCACTGACTGTTTATCCGCATACACCTTAATCAAGGGCAATAATCTACACACTCTCGCCACTGAGATCAGGAACATCATCAACAGCACTAGTAATACCATCTCCATTACCTGGACTCGTGCCCATCAGGGCACTCCTGGTAATGAGTGTGTGGACCAGCTTGCCAAAGCAGCCACCACGGACAATACCATCCCCATCATCTACGACAAGATCAGCAAGCACACCTTACGCCAGCTCCTCTGGAGGGACACCCTTTCTACTTGGCAAAGCATTTGGAACAGTAATAACACCTGCATTACGTATAACTATATTCCAAACATTAGTGACTTTATGAAGCTTGACTGGTTTGCGCCGAGCTACCATACTACTCAGTTTCTCACTGGACATGGAAAGTTCAGTGCTTATCTCTCCCGCTTCACCAACCATCCTTCACGTCTTTGTCCTTTCTGTCAAGTTGAGGACAGCGGGACTCATTACATTTTTGACTGTCCCACTCTTGAAGCAGAGCGACTGGAGATTAGAATCCTATCACAGAGCCTTGGCACCACTTGGCCATGCCGTCACTCCGACCTACTTGCTAACAAGGATATCTATCTCGCCTTCTCCAGACTGGCGAAGAAATTCTGCAAATTGTCACTTGTAACGGCTTGATCTTGTAACATGTTACTCCCAGCCATACTGCTGTCTATGCATATACTTCTACTCCGGTTTTACATCACTTACATGTCTTTGTACCTTTTATTGTCTTGTCATGTTTTATTTCTGTATTGTACTGTTCTGTTATGTATTGCATTTGTATTGATTTGTTTTTATTCTGTATTCTGTAATACTTAGGTTTGTTCTGTGTATCGTATTATTATTATATTTTACATCACTCTACCGTATTGTCACTACTTTGTCACATATCTTTATATATCCTGTATTCTACCTTGGTCATGCTTAACGCGACACCAAGTATGTACGCTGTACTTTAATAAATAATACTGACTGACTGACTGACTGTAAAAACTGATTGCTACATCGCTCTTCCTTTCTTAGAAATAAAAGGAAATTCTTAGTATTAGGTAAAATAATTTTGAATGAATTAACTTTTCCATATTTTCTATTTTTAGATATATCATGCATTATATATTTAAACGGATATACGATATTCAACACTATCGTAAAAATTCGAAAAATATAGTTGGGATCAGCGTCCTCTTGAATTCTGTCACTTTTTCAATTACACCTGTCAATACTATTGGCCCCAGTGTTTGAACGTAAATATGTACGTTCCCAAGTTATCAAACGAACCCAGTATTTGCATATTCGTGCGTCACTGTTCATTCATTTTTATTAGCTGTAATGGTACTTCAAAGCAATGTTTATTTGTATAAATTTCTACTGTAAAATTGAACATACAGCATTCTCAGCAGCCTCAATTACTCTCCACTTAATGGCAAATGTTTACTTATATATACCACAATTATCAGTTATCTTCCTCAAATTAGAACGATACATTTTATGTTCTGTTTTTACCTAAATAAAGCAATAGTGTCGAAACATTTAATGCTTTTTGTTTCAATGTGATTGACAAAAAACTACTTCAAAAATATTGTACTTAAAAAGATTTCAAATTTCTGTCGGGTGTTCTTAGTCTGTGGAAAAAATTAACTTCAGAACTTCGATAAAATTTTCACACATTAAGCCACAAAGCCACGTCAAGGCGACACCCATTTTGTGGTAGTTTTTTGATTTCCAGAAACTGACCCCGATTGCTTGACAGAATAACAATCGGGGAATAAAACTGGATATTCGTTGCTATTCCATTCATTCGGTAAACTAAAATGAACCACGAAATCTAATTTTTATATCGTTTTGTTGAAACTTTCCGATTGAAAAAAGTAAATTCAAAATATAGATTTTTATTTCAAAATAAACATAGCAACGAATAAAAGATTATCTTTAAAATATAAATAACTACAAACAATTGATATTGTATATAAAAATATATACTACAAAATTATCATATTGAGGCAGAAATTCTAATGCTTAACCCTTCTGCTACCATTTTTTTGTGTTCTAAAACTGTTTTCATTTCGAAAAATGGTAATATGCGTAAATAGAAGAAATCCATTGAAATTTTTGCGAAATATTACTCCCTGGCCCTTTGTTCCAGTGGCGTTTATTGTAAATCTTAGTGGTTCTGAAAACAAGAGTCCAATAATGAGTAACAAATAAATTCATATTAATTTATTTAAAATAAAAACAAGACTTGTGAATAATATAATTCAGAACATATACAAATGTACACAATTCAGCTGTTGTTTTCAATTTTCTGTTTTAAACGTCTAGTCTTCTGGTGTTTCCTTCAACTGAAGTTGATCACCAATGTTGCCCATTGTTGTCGTTATTTAAAAAGGCTGCCCAGATCATTTCATACTTTTAACTTTTGCTGCAGCCATTATACTTTATGCCAAAAAAAATTTCTCAACAGAAACATATCTGTAGAGGATCCATGCGTTTAATACTGCTATCGTAAGCAGTTTAAAAGTAATTTTTTTCAACAAATTTAACCGTAAAATCTAACTTGTAAACTGCTATATTGAACAAACAATCCCACTCGTATCATAAAATCATTAATATTGCAATTGCCTTTGGACACAGGCTAGGTAAACTTTTAGCAGCTTTTTGAATTTTACTGAGAGATGTACTGTACTTTCTAGATTTTATCAATTCCAAAATAATATGACCTTCTTACTGTTTATTTATAGAGATGCTAACGTTCTTGCATTATCATACGAGAATTCAATATCTTTTTGCTTATTTGTAAGAGTGCTATCAGCAGAAAATCTTAATGTATTTATTAACATCACTGTTGTAGAAAACAGACGAACTCTAAGAATACAACAGGAATGTTTATATTAGAAAACAATATTGGAGCACTTTCTGTAGTAAGATTATTTTCCAAATCTTCAGACGATAAATCAGAAATGTTTTCAAATAATAACATTTTATTTGATAGATCTTGAGAAAATTTTCCATTCAAAGTCATTGTATGTACTCTGAAAATAAGTTCGAATTGAATGAAAAATTACGTTATAAACAAAGTATTATCAGAGCATTGAGATAAATATGTCACGTTTTGAAATGTCAATGCGACATATTTATTGCAAATGTAAAATTAAGTGTATTGTTTTCTTACCGTGGATTTCAGATTGTGAAGAACACTGGTCACAAGGTAAGTCAGAAATATCCATACGAATTCTAACTGTTCGAAAAACACCTTTAATTATCGCACAAGTGACGAAAAATGCATGTTCAGACAGAAACAATAAGTAATTCAACTATGACAGTTGCGTTAGTGGTGCAATCTCTACAGAAATAATGGATAAATACATATCTAAAATTCTCAACCAATGTTCACGCTAATAAGATTTACCAGTGTCCGAGACACGTGATTCGTTGGTAGCAAAAAGGTTAAGGTTCATTCGCATTATTTCCCTCTTTAGTACAAAGAAAGTAAAGTGCTTAGCGTACAGAACGTGATGCACGGGCTAGCGCATATGATGCAAAGGCGAAATGCCTTACTGGCAAATGCATCCGATGATGTGAATGTGGCCCATCATGTCTAACGTTGTGTTAATAAAAGTAAAATTGTAAAGTAGTTTAAAGAACATATAGTGCCCGTTATTTAACATGTAAACTAACATTGGTATTATAATAAATTATACTTAATTATTGTGTTTTATTGAGAATGTTTTGGCGTGGAGGTGCTCTTATTGCTAACTATTGAAAATTGGCCTTTATTATGGATATGTTTGTCAAATCCAGTGAATTTGTTAATCGGGATAATGTCAAAGAAAAAGAACAAGTTTTTAAAAAGATTGTTATATGTTTTCAAGAACACCTTCAGGTAAACGTTTGCGTTCTTGCTCCTCCGGAAATGCTGTTAAAGTGAGAGACAATAAGAAGTATTTGGATCAAGAATTATTTTTAAAAGACATAAGAGTTATGTGGAGCGAAATAAAGGATGCTTTAGAATGAAAAATAGAGACGGAGTTGCGTTTAATAAAAGTCAGTTTCGTGGAAATGATTAATATGTTGACAGAGAAAATTAATAAATTAGAATCCGTTCATGACTGTGGTATTGGATGTAACAATATGCAGTTTCTTACTGGTTCAAGTAAAAGAGTCAATTACACTTAAAAGTATTCTAAGGAAAAAAAAATTTGATATTAATGTGGAGACGAATCATAGAGAAAATGTATTCGATACATCGAAGCTAATTAGGGAAGATGTTGGTTTATCGAATGTCTTTCTTGATTGTTAGACATACAAAAATACTATTAACAATTTGGTGGTTTTGGTTAAAAGCATTTCTTTGGCAGCGAAAAGAGAAATATCGAAAAGTTGGAAGAGTAATTGTAATAATTTTCCTGTCTGTGAATGGGAAAAGGCAGTGCGCATAAGAAGGGATCTTTTAATTGAATGTAGGGAGAAGAGGAAAGAACATTATGGATAATTTAACACAGGCCAGAAAAGAGGGAAAAATTGCATATTTTAGAGATGATAAATTGGCGATAACTAAAAACTTTCGTAAGGTTGCCAGGGATAAACGTGAATGGATGTGTTAGTGATTATTTTTAGGAGTAAGAATGATACATTAAAAGTTCTTAGTTGGAACGTAAATGGATAGAAACAGGAATATGAAATGCAGTATTGAAATAACGTTTCATGTTGAAATATTTTATGTTGGATGGAAACATGGTTAGGTGAAATGGATACAAGAAAGCCATCGATTGATGTAATCAATGCATAAGATTTTAACAAGATTAACGGTACTAGAATACTTGATAAAGGGCGAAAACAGGTGGGATGGTATTGATGATTAATAAAGTACTCAAACATGTGGTGATTCGTTCCTTTGAAGTTTGATTATTTGAAATACGTTGGAAAAACACTAAGTTTATTTTTGTTTAGGCTATATTATAATAGAAGTTTACGTTAAATGTTTTAAATTACTTGAGACATTGTTTAATTCTTTTCAAAATTAGGACATGTATTTTTTGGGAGCTTGAACGGTATAATTGGAACTTTGAATGAAATGGAATGAGAAGGCGATGTTTCCCCTTATTGGATTATAGTGTTTACTGGAGTTCGGAAGACAAATGTACCAACAAGATTTGTGGAATTATGCCAAGCAAAAGGTCTGCTGACTGTGAATGGTCAAGTTGAGGATGTACAGAGAAAGTATACTTTTATCTGTTATTTCGGTAAAAGTGTGATTGATTGGTTGTGTATAAACGGTTTGGAAGTTGAGAATTTAAAGCATTTTCGTATAGATGACTGTATTGAATCTGATCATATGATGCAACATTTAGAAATTTCTGAGAAAGGACTGAAAAAAAGGACTATACTAGACAACCGGTTCAGTTTAATAGTCG